AGGCTATCGCATCGTACGACCGCACCTTGTCCATGCGCCTCTACGTCCATTGCACGCTCTTCAAGTACGTACTACGCACCATCACTACATTGATCGTTTCGCTTTGGTGCTTCATGTTGACCTCGCTCCCACTTCCCTCTCGCCAGAGAGTCCATCTACACACACGGCACCAAAGAGCAGTGGCTCAAGTGGAAGGTAGCCCGCGAGTTCCCGACCCCTTAATTGTGATTTATTTACTATTATGAATTTATTTACTTGTACTTTTCTTTATTATTTCTTTATTATTGTGCCCAGGACGACATTGAATCGGCGCGCGTGCTGGGCTGTTTCGCGATGACCGAACTCGGTCACTCGTCGTTCCTGCGCGGCATCGAAACCACGGCCACCTACGACAAGGCCACCGGGGAGTTCATCCTCCACTCGTACATGCCTGAGATTCCTTCAATGCACCCGCTGGTTGCTGGCTGACTCTTCCAACTCTTGTTGGTCTGTCTCATCATCATCATCATCATCATCAGGCCCACGCTGACGGCCTCCAAGTGGTGGATTGGCATGGCCGGCGAGACGGCGACCCACACCGTGGCCATCGCTCGCCTGATCGTTGACAACAAGGACCTCGGGCTTAATTGGTATACTTCGCGAGCCGCGGCCTGTCGAAGCGCTTTGTGGTCACATGTCGGCAGCTGCTTATACACAACCACAACGCCACAACGTTGCGCAGGTTCGTTGTTCAGCTCCGCAGTCTGGTCGATGGTACGCTCATGCCTGGAGTCACCTGCGGAGACATCGGCGCCAAAATGGGCCGTGCCGGGTATGTGCCTCCCCCCTCCCAAAATGAAAACAATCAAAGCAAGCATCGGACTTAATTGTCTATGATTTGTCTCGACACTTGACACCACCCCAGGCTCGACAATGGCTGGATTCAGTTCACTCAAGTGCGCATCCCTTTGGACAACATGCTCATGAAGTGGGCTCAGCTCTCGCCAGATGTACGTGCACACCACACACGCTCGACAACACACACAACACACACACCACACACACACACACACACCACACACACGTCGACACCGCCACTTATATCACTACTCTGCACAGGGCGCGTTCACCGCCGCTCCGAATCCAGCAATGGCCTACAACACGCTGATCGGCGAGCGTCTGGTGGTGATCGAGGACAGCGCCGACGTGGTGGGACACGCGGTCACCATCGCCATTCGCTACGGGGCCGTGCGGCGGCAGGGGTCCAAGGACCAGCAGATCCTGGACTACCAGTCGCACCAGTACCACCTCATGCCGCTCCTGGCCGGCGTCTACGGACTCCACTTCCTGGCGCGCAAGTCGGGCACGACTGGTTCAAGGAGCTGGAGAACCAGGACGCCGACCCGAAGCGATTCCTGAGCCTCGTGCCCGACTACCACAACATCTCTGCCGGCTTCAAGGTGTGCGCTTGGCTGTCATCTGAATTCTAAGATCGACTGTTGGACGACTCACCAGCCAACGTGTTCTTATTCTTTCCCGACGGCGTCGTTGGCCTCAGGCGTGGCTGGGCTGGTGGGCCAGCACGGCGCTCGAGACGTGTCGGCGATGCATGGGCGGACACGGCTACTCGGCCTACAACTCGATTCCCGGCCTCATCATGGATCATGGCGTGATCACCACCGGAGGCGCGCACCCCATCTCCTGTCTCCCATTCTGTAAATGCTTGGCTGACTTCCTTTGTCGCGTGTCGCGTGTGTTGTGTCATGCGCGAATTTAGGCGGAGACAACATTGTGCTGGCCCAGCAGAGCGCGAGACAACTTATGGCCTCTCTCCAGAAGGTTTGCGACTGCCCGCTCCTCCCACGCCGGTGGTGGTGGTGGTGGTGGTGGTGGTGGTGGTGGTGGTGGTGGTGGTGGGTCTCACCTGTCGTGCGGTGTGTTCAGGCGGCGCGAGGAAAGCAACTGTCAGGCTCGGTGGCCTACCTGTCTCAGGCCGAGCAGATCGTCGCCCAGGCGCCATGGCGGCCCGTCCTCGAGAGCGGCGCGGACGTCCCCTCAAGCGCCTCCCTGGTCACCGCTCTCCGGTGGCTCGCCGCAAAGCAGATCACCCACGTCGCCCAACAGCTCCAGGTACTCACACGCACACACACTGCCGCACACGCACCACCGCACACGCTCAAGTGACGAGCGACTAATGCCTCGGCAGGCTGACGTGGTGGCCGGGAAGGACATGGAGGAGGCGTGGAACGACAACCTCATGGCCCTCGTCTCCTGCTCCCGAGTGCACACGTGGTACTTTGTGGTGAACTTCTTCCACCAGGTGGTCGAAGAGCAGCGCCAGCAGCGCACGAACGCCGATGGTCAGGCCGGTATCGCCCCGACGCTGCACAAGCTGTGCCTCCTCTTTGCCCTCGACCGAGTCCACGCCGAGGCCGCCCTCTTCCTCGAGTACGGCTATATCACAGGTATGCCCACCGTTCGCCCTTCGCTTTCCTTCGCATTATTGTCTTGTTCTTCGCTCTTTTTCGTTTTCGTCTTCGTTTTTGGTTTCGTGCCTGACGTGGTTGAATCTAAAACAACGCGTAGGTGAGGAGGCAGCGCTGGTGCGCAGGAGCCACCTGAAGCTGTGCCGCGAGGTGCGCAAGGACGCCGTACTGCTGACCGACGCCCTCGCCATTCCCGACTACGTGCTCAAGGCGCCCTTCGGCGCCTACGACGGCGACATCTACCGGAAGTACTTCGAGGTTGACCTTCGCTCTCTCTTTGGTGACACCATCAGCTCAGTGTTGACTAACCACATTCCCCACACCATGCACAACTTGAAGGTGGTCACCAGCGCACCGCAGACCAACATCAACGGACATCCCTTCTACTACGAGGAGAGCGTGGCACCGCTCATACGCGGCGTAGACCTTGCCGGCCGCAGTCCCGCCAAGCTCTGAGAGCTTCGTTTTTCGGCCGAACGAAGAAAATAGCGAAATTTCGCTCTTTTATTTTCGGATATTTCTTTCTCCTTTTCTTGGCAGGATGACGTAAGCATGACCAAAGGAGGAATAACGGACACCTGAATTGCGAATAGGATTCGGTGTTTGTTGATCAAATTCTCAATCAAACATGGCGTGCGTGTTGTGTCGATTAGCCAGGGTTGCCTGCGACGGGTATTATACCCTTTACCGTTGCAAATTCTTAAACTTGATTGCGATCTCACATCTTCATCCTCCGTGAAATGGCACAGACAAGAGCCGTGCACACGGTGCCGAACTCACGGGTGGTCGCATCGGTGCTTCTACATGGACCGACGACGGGGCCGACCAAAACAGCAACGCCGCGTAGCGCCAGGCATGTCCCCCCTCTATACATCGCTACGTTCGACTCCCCTGTTTGGAGGAGCTCTGGGAGCCTTGCCCCTACACCCGTTGGGCATGCCTGCTCCTCGTTCCTCGTCCTAGAGCCAAGCTGCCCCCGTTATATCGATGTAGCGATTGGGTCTGGTTGTCTGATGCCCGCACAGCCTGTCGGTTCTGTGTAGTGGCAGATGGCGCACCACACACAACACGCACGCACGCACGCACGCACACACACACATACACACGACACTCACAGTACGTTTCTCACAAACATAGGCTGTCGTTTGTTTCAGGTGTCACGAACATGACGGTCATCAAGCCGCTGCCAACCGGGGGCGCACCCGCGCCCTCTTTCTCCTCCAGCGGCGCCACATCGGGCGCCTCCTCGCCCGACCACTCCGTCGCCACCACCAGCACCAGCACCACCGCCAGCACCAACCACTTCATGCACTCGCCGCCGCCCGCTCCTTCGTACGCGCAGCCGATGCCGACGAACCTTAGCTACGGCCTGGGCCTGGGCTTGGATGGGGCCATGGGCTCGCCACTGGCCCGCGGCAGTAGCGTCGGTGGCGTTGGTGGTGGCGGTGGTGGTGGTGCGACGGCGGCCAACGCGTCAGACCTGCTGCTGTCGTTCCTCACGCAGACGGTGCGCGAGATGAAGGAGAAGATCACCTCGCTCGAAGACGACAATCAGCACCTGCGCACGAAGCACCGCAAGCTGAAGCGCCGGCTGAAGGACAACGACGAGCGGGTCGAGCAGCTCTTCAGCACCGTGGCCAACCTGGCCCAGGCCCAGGCTCCACACCCGCAGCAGCAGCAGCGCGTCCAGACTATGCCGACGGCAAGATCCAATTTCTACGCGTCGACATTGTCGTCGTCATCGTCGACAATGCAACCCTCATCAACGTCACCACCGTCGTCGTCATCATCT